AACACGTTTCAGTTTCCTCAGTGTCTAAGCTGACAATTAAATTTTCAAGCCTGGTTCCATCAAGCCAGCCAGCCTCACATTAGCTTGCTATCCTCTCTAAGCATGCCAATTTAATACTGGAAGGGTACCTTCCTCGAGACATAAAAAGCACTGTGGAGTTTCAAGAGAAGATTACAGTACGCCATTGGAATTTTCTGACTTTATCTAAAACCCTGTAATAAGTCATATCAAAGATTTTTGTTCCCCTCCCCTACAGCAGAGGTTGCAGCTAATTTGCCTTGAAGAAAGTGGCTTCAGCGAAGTGGCTTTGAACAAAGAAAATGTCTCCAGATGGTTTGAGTGAAACACCATCTGAGCGTTATCATCTGGGAGATTATTCGGTTCACATTTTGACAATATCCATGCACGTTTTGGCATGCTGAAAACCTGCTGAAAAATAATGCCTTAGTGTTTCTATTTGAAAACATTTTTAAATAATTGTGTCTTTTCTCTGCCTGGTCAGAGGTTAGCCACTTAAGATAAAATCTAACTGGGTAAAGAGAGCAGCAACCCTGGGGAAGGACAGATAGTACAGAGAGACCAATGCAGAGGTTTGCTACCGCCTGTCTGTAATAGCAAGCTTTTAATGGAGCTCTCAACTGAGCTTCAACAATGACTTCTGCCTCAGAGCAAAAGTCTTTAATGCAATTTATCAGGGCTGCACTAACAGTCACGTTTGCAAAGGGAGGTTATTGTTAACGGTGAAATGAAACAGAGAGGAGGGAAGGTGACTATTTCTGCAACAACTAGCAATAATCTACAATTGCAATGATGGAAAACAGTACCCTCCGAGCAGTGCAGACTAGCCGAGATTAAAATAAGATTTCAGAATCGCAGCTTCTTTTCAAATTAAAACAGATAACGCAAGTTAATTATTGCCCGAGATGGGAAGGAAGCTGAGCAGTATGCTAATGCTCCCCAAACCGGAAAAGACACAAAGGCAGCTCTTCCTCTGTGTTAACAGGTTTTCATTTGGTTGGGGGGTTTTTTAATTCTACAATCTTTCTCTGGGATGCTGCACAGGGTCCTCTGCAACTTACCTCAGGGCAGCAGCATGGTACGTGTCAACGTAATCTGAAATGAAGAGCTCTCGATTCTTGATCACTGGGTCTGTGATAACAAGCTCTCGTCCAGAGTCTGCAAAAAGAAAATGACACGCTGGCTGCAGAATCCCAAACCAGCTACCTCTGCAGTTTCCCAGGCTCTTTGTAGATTGAAGCCTGAGGCTAACACAAACACACAGAGTTGCCAATATGCCCACATTATCCTGATGTTTTAATCATTTGAATATAGTTTTTTCTATGGTTCTCACTATAGGCATATCTGAGGGCCTCACAGATGATAAAAAAAAACTTGTACTTGCCATACCAGTCAGGCATGGTAGCAACGTTTCCCCCAAATTCTACAAAGGGCTCGCTCATAGAAACCCCAGCACTTCGCATCTCCTAAGCGGCGTGCTGGAGAGAAACAGATTGTCTGGGTACAACTGGAAAAAAGTGCCTGGTCTATCAGGCTCTACTGGGTGAGCACCTTCCTCCACAGCCCCTCTCCCCACATCTGCCATGTCTATTATACACAGTTTTCTACATGAGTCTTTTTGATCAACATTTCTATCACCTTCTATGGCAGAGACAGAAAAAATAGTGAACACTAATGCTACTAACATGGGGGGTTCCTCGTTTTTGTTCAACGACTATCCTATAAAGAGGATTTATTTTTAGTTCTCTGCCTCCGCCTCCCTCACCCCCCACCTCTCTCTCCCACCACCCGAAAGCATGAACTATTAAAACAACATCCATTATGGAACTGATCCAGAAACATCACGAGTCACCAACTCTAATTTTTTTAAGTAATTTAAACTTCTATGCCCCTGAGCAGATTTCACCTCAACCCTTCACCAAGTCCTGTCTCTCTCTTTACTAAGCAATGAATGGTATCATTGAGCTGTGATGAACATTTGTTTTCTGGTTTAAAATGGGAATAAAACTCCAGTCCTATGTAAAATCCTAAATGCAACCTTAGTTGTTGGATCGCTAATGACATCTTTACAATCCCAACTTAAACACATAAAAATACTTTTTATATGCCCAGTGTTACATAATCAAAGCATTAAAGTTATGAAAACATGTTGGCTTTCCCATCATGCTTACAACTCCAACATTACATATTTAAACGGGACCAGTAAATACTGAGGCACACAAAAGCGCTCTTCATCATGTCACCAGTAAGGAGAAAATCTGCATAGATCTGTAATACTACGTGCCATCTGTGCAGATATTTAAAACATAATTGTATATAACAGTTCACCTCCCAAGATCTTCACTGTTTTAGAGACAGCCTCAAAGAACTTCCCAGGTTGCAAAAGTGAACCAAGTTTTACAGCTGGTCGGGGGGTGGGGAGAATTATCCTGGAAGCCTTAAGCATTCCTCTTTCAGACACCTTTAAGGAGGCCAATGTTTATTATTTAATTCAAAAAAGAAGGGGGAAACCAGTTAATACTACAATGTGCATTTCCTTGGCAATATTATCATCTGACAAGCCTTAACATGATAGGATAAAGCCAAATTAAATGTAAGCAATAATTCAAAATCGCATTATAGTATGGCAGGGGCACCCCAAAGTAAAAGGGGCTCTTGATTCATCCTTAATGCACCTTGATCTAAATGGTAACTATGTGTGATACCCCAAAAGCACTCAAGAAAGCCCAGTAATTTTACCAGTAAATTCTTTCCAAGTAAAGCAGCAAGGTGTTTTTAGTAATATTTTTTATTGGACTAACACAATGGAAGAGTTTCCAAAAGCTTGTTTAACATTTCTACCTATGATAAAAAGATATTACCCAAAAAACAAAACAAAACCCTCTTGCTTATTGTACATTCCCTGGACTATCACAGCCACAACATCACATTTAGCTTTTCAAGTAGAACATTAATTCAGTTACCATATAGTATATAAAGCGTAGCTGAGATGCATCAACCTGCAGCTACTGCTAGGGATGATATGCAAAGCGAAGTAGACCACAGTTGCCAAAAGACATCATCTTTTGTGTTTTAGCATGTTGTTCACATTGATTGTTCCTTACCTGGTCCAAACGTTTTCCACGGACTGCTCAACATAACCACACGACTCCAGTTAAGTCCTGTACAAAAATAAGTTACGGCTGACGCTGTAGAGCATAACTTACCATTCTCATTGTGTCGGTCCTGAACCAAATGCTGATAGACTGAATCTGGGACTTCAGACTGGCGATAGTACCATTTGACATTCATAAGCAGATGGTCCCGTTTACTCTGAAAGAGAAAGTCTAAGGCATTACTGAACAGGAATTCAGATCTTGGCTGCCACAAAAATCTTCCAGAACTCAAGTAACATTGAGCTAAATCTGAATTAAGGAAAATCAAAAATATTTCCATGACAATGAAACCCAGGGGCAGTAGTACTTGTGGCACATGTGCTTTCCAAGCTGAATAAGACTAAAGAAAATGAGCACGCCATTCACATCCATGTGACTCGGGCTATGTACACCTGACTAAACACACCAAACCATCAAAAAAATCTCAACAAAAAGAACCATACAAGTAACGAGGTGGCAGTGTCCTTAGCCTCAAACAGCACCACGTCATCTTCTTATCCATCGACTTTTGACAAACCAGAAGCAATTTTAGCCAGACACAAGAGGAGAGAATCACTTCCAGCGGGGCTACTTGTGAACAGCAGTAAAATGAAGATCCCGGAAACCCTCCCAGAGAGGCTGCTTTACCCATTGTGTTGTGGATTTTCTCTTGCATCTTTTTTATGCCCAGACGAATGGGACGTTGCACATTAATCCCAACATTTAGAGGGTTGGCATATTTAAATGCTTTAATAAAGTCAGATTCGGAAATTCACCCAGAACAATATCCTCACTGAACTGGTGCTACTTTGTTCAACAATCCAACTACTGATTAGCCCCTTCTTAACCCAAAATTAAAATGTAAATACCGTGCAATAAGAGAATAATTTTTAAATAAAAAAGTGATTGCACACATAGAGTCTTAGCTCCGGTGAGCCTTTGAAACCATGGCTAGCTAGTCCTTTCCACCACTCCTGAACACTTAAGGAAACACAGCAAGGCCTAAAGGAAAATTAACATTCTTTCAGAGTGAGGCAACTGCAAGCAGAGTGTTTATTTTTTTGCACTGCGGCTCTCACACCACTTCCAGAAGTGCCCTTAAAAAATGCAAATTTAAAGTTAAAATCATACATGGATTTTTTCCGTCAGGAAGTTCTTGCTGTCCTTCCAGCCCACATTCGCTTGTGATAGCAATGTCTGTGATTATTTAATCAAAAACACACAGGTCTTCCAATTACACACGGTTCTCTAAGCCAGTGATTAAAAAACACATGTAATACCATTAAAAAGCCAGCTAGTGGCAGCATTGTGTCAGAAAATGGACCCACACACAGCAATAATACCCTGTGTGCCATACACCATAAACCTTAGAAACATTAAAAAAAAACCACCCCACAAACAGCAATGAAAACATGTCCAGGCTTTTTATAAAAGAATCTGGACTTTATTACAGTTTTAGAGGAATAGCATACCTGCAGTCAAAGATACAAAAATGTGTTTGATGCATGAACAAACTAAGTCTGGGAGGCAACAAGAATTCCTGCTGCCTTTCAAACCCATAAGATAAGTGATCACTGACTGACATGACTACCTTGAAATAAAAACCTAGGCTGCCTAGCCTTTATGAAATGTGTCTCAGTTTTAAAGAAAGGAAGCATAACTGTGGGTCTAAAGGTTATGTTGTCCCTTTAATGCAAGTGCATCATTTTACTGCTGCTAATGAGAGTTGCGTGCAAGCAGTGAGGGGGAAAAGAAGGTTAGTAGGCAGTAACATCAATTCTTTGAGAGTTCGCTCTGGGAATTCCCAGTTGGAGGATACGTACGCCGGCCTATTCCTGCAAAGCTTTACCAACTTTCTGCTCCAGGTTTCCAACCACTCCGCACAGAAGAAGGGGTTGAGAAGTCGTCTCCTACCAGCTCAGTCTCCTTCAGGAGGACAAAACATCCCAAGGATGAAGGGGTGATATTTGAAAGGAAGTGTGAGCATGCAAAGGCAACTGCCTTTAAAAAAAAATGTTAAGCATCCTTCCTTCAAGGTGGCCTCTGCATATTTCCATCTGTGGGATCTAGTGAATGCTCTAAACCTCAAGAAGGTGGCATGCATGATGAGTTGGATTTAGATGGAAACAGTGCAACTACCCTGCATGGTCCCCAGCCACCACATATGCCCAGTTGAGGAGCGGTGGAAAGCAAGTAGCAGTCCCATGGGTTTCTAAGATGACACTCCAGAGGGTAACCTGACAGAGCAAGCTAACAACCTGAGACAATCCATTGTGAATAATGCATATAATCTGTACCAGCACTCCGCTAGATAAATATGGGCTAAACAGACTTTAGGTGACTTTCCAAACACCATAAACCAGTTCACACCAAAAATCAATGCTCTCAAAATATCGGATAGAAAGGATGTTTCCCCAATGCTAATTTGGGATACCAGTAGCCTGATATAAGTGGAACACTGAATGCTCTTAGGTAAAAATGCTGGATGACTGCAAAAGCTAAGGTTTTTTCCCCCAAAGACGGCCATGAAAGGGGTTCAGAGAGAAGGAGAAGAAAAGAGGTCAGCGGCAAACCTGCAACCTGTTCCTCCGGCAAATAATTGCAAATTAAAACACTCTCTTCTGAAGAGACAGAACTTTGAGCACTCTCTCAAAGGTTAAAAAGGTATATCCAACATCAAAATTGAGATCTCTTGTGAGAAAGGCTCTCTGACTGGTGGACACATTAACCAGTCCTCCAAGGAGTCTAGCAAGAACAGGAAAGCTGAAGACTTCACAGTTGACATTTGGTGGTACAGCAGATAAGGACACACTGACTGATGACAGACAGGCTTGGGACAAATACTTTAAAAACACCAGATAGTCCAAAAAAAATTAATGAAATGATGGCAAAGCATGGGAATAGGCTGTTATCTGCTGACCCAAAAGAGAAGGCTGTTTCCAACTGGGGGAACATTTGAGTAAGAAAAAGCTTTCTTGGGTTACAGCAAGACAGTCTACAGGCTATATCAGAAGTTAGCCATGTGTGGCAAAGTGGGACTCCCCAACTAGCCACAGTGCTAGTTTCCCTACTGGCCTTTGGGTATGCCACCCACCTGACTCGCCTGCCATGCCTTGTTGTTAATTAATTAGGATATTAATTAAGGTGGGAGGCTGCCCATTCTTGCCCTGATACCGGGGGTGCTATCTGCGGCTCCGTTCCTCCCCTACACCGCAGCCCAAGCCTGGCATCCAGATGACACAGTGCTCCCAGCCTTCAGCCAGACCAAGCTTAGGCCTCAGACATGCACACATTCATACCACCATCCTCTCACTAGGGCCTCTCACTCCACCCTCTCTCACAGGGTCTCTTTCATACATCAACATCTTATACTGCCTTGCTCCCTCTTGGAGCGGGCCCTCAGGCTTTACCAAGTTTGTACCTTGGGTGGCAGACATACCATCTTTTTGGGCCTCTCCTGCGACCCTCATCGGGGTAGTGGCCAGCAAATTACCTGACCAGGTCTAAACTTGCTCTGGCCCCTTCCGGGGGCAACTTTATACATATAAACATACTGGGCTCTCAGCCCTCTGGTTCTTCTCCCCCACTGGGGTCCCTCCTCTCTGCTCCCTTTCTAGGGCACCCCTCACCGGGGTGTTCTTATCCCATACCACGACTGGTGCTCCGGGGTCTCACAGGGATTCTCACTCCCTGCCCCCACCCAGAGCAGCAGGTCTTTGAGCTCACCTATAGCTCTTACTTTCGACCCACTTGGCCCCCCAGCAATGGAGGACTTACCGAGGTCAGGACTCACCCCTCACTCTCGGACTGAGCCCCCTTACTCAGCCTCTGGCCCAAACTACTGCCTCAGGCATCCGGAGTCATACCTAGGCCTACTCCCTTCACTCGGGGCCACAGGGCTTCCCTCCCTGGTGGGCTCAGGTGGCCATAGCCATGCCTGGCCCCAACTACATCTCCTCAGGGTCCTACACCCCACAGGGCTCAGGTGGCCACAGCCATGCCACGCCCCCACTCTTCCTCCTCAGGGTCTTACTCCCCACAGGGCTCAGGTGGCCTCAGCCACGCCTGGCCCACTACCACCAATGTTGCATGACTCACCTGAAGGTGAGGGCTAGGGTTAAGGTGCCCTTACTCACCTTTCACTGGGGTGGTAACTGGAAACTGGTATTTCCTGGGGGCTCCCGCACCACCGAGAGCCCCACCAGGCCACCCACTCCCTACAGGGTGCAGTTTTAGGTCATGCCCAGGACCAGGAGCCTCCTAGCCATCCCCTACAGCTCCTGCCCTTACCTCCAGGATTGTTATGGAGCCTTGCAGCCAGGCAATGTTCCTGCCTGGGCTGCCAGCAGCAAACTGCCCCATTTATATGGGCGGCCACAGATCTAAAATGGCCGCCGCAATCAAGCACCTGCTGGCTGCTTGGCTCCACTCTTAAAGTGGCAGGCACCAACAGTGCCCTGCCACACCATGCCACATCATTAAGATTGCTAGGTGAAGTGACTGCAGAGTAAAATGCAGAATGAGACCATCTGACTGTGAGGTTGGTATAGGATGCAATACAGAATCTGTAAAGCCAGTGGATTCCACATTTGCTCTACCTAAGCTGGAGCAATACATGTATATCTTAGGTGATTTTACTCCTTAAGGGTTTGCCTTCAGAAGGAAGGTGGCTGGGTAAGTGTGTAGCCCCAAGAAAACCAGACCTGTTACCTATCTCCTGTTTAGAAAAGGGCTTCATGCGTGCCTCAGGCACAGGAGGTACCCTGGCACCTCAGGCTGATGACAGAAGCCAGGGACCCCAGAGCCTTCCTTTGGAGAAGTGCTGGATGGAGATTACAATTCCAGCACTGAAGACTTCTGTTCCCTTTCTCCCACCTTTGCAGGATGGGGACAGGATCCTGAACCAGGAATGGATGCAAGGCCCTTCCTGCTTCACAGACCGCCATCAGAAAGGCAGCTGGGAGTCAAGTGTACATGTACTTTTGTGCCCAAACCACAGAAGGCTCAGCATGAGAAACAACTCTCTGGGGAAGAGCCTTCCTCAATGGCACAGCAGGCAGTTACACATACAACCACAAAGACAGGTCATAAAACATGCTGCTCTTTAAATCCGCTTCCCTCCCCCATGTCCCTTTATATCTAAAACTGCAACAGAACAGAAACTGCCTGCAAATGCCC